CACACCCCACCAGTACCAAGTCATCACCGGCTGTCTCAACCCATCTCCATTTAATTTCCCTGTATAAAAGGTGTCGGTTCTGCAGACAAGGTGGATATATTCACTTAAATATAACAGGGTGTTTTTGAATCGGGACTGTTGGAGAAGGACGACGATGGATTTCTGACATTAAACCCCGCCCACTAGTTTACTGTGCATGCGCGGTAGTGTCGTTTTTGTTGTCTATGGAGCTGTATGATGTCAACATATACCAGAGTTTTATTGAAAAACGTTGCGACCAATAATACAAAAGTTTCATATGAATTGACTATTTTCTTCAACTCTTTTACAGGGGGTAAAACACTTTATAATACACATGTGCTAACTACCACCGAATAATACAAAACAATAATACATTATGTAATTCTGGTGCCATATTAATTAATGTCTCTTTGCGGTGGCGGATTCAAGTGTTCAATATTTTTAAAAGGATGGAGATATAAAGAAAATTGTGTTCAAATTGTAAGTATGAGAGTGCAATTCAGGCCATCTGGAGGAGCCATAAATCACAAATGTTCTTACCTCAACCCCAACCATGGTGGGACTGAGGTTCTTCATTTGTGAAAGTACTATCCCGGCCCCCTCTATTTTGAATTCCTGGATCCGCCACGACTGTTTTGAGTTTTTACAATTCATAAAAGTAATAGTTGGTTGCTACAAATTGACATTCATAGGCCCTAATTGTATATTTCTCCAGTAAACCATGTTCTTAATTAAACCATTACTTGGTTATCACATAAAAGGTAATCATAGATATTCATGGGGACTTGAAAATTCATAAATTCATTCTCCTTGGCTGTACCTAACCATTTTTTTTTTCATGTGGTTGAATAAATAAAATGAGAAATGGTTTGACTTGGGTTTGAAAGTAATTTTCATAAATACAAACGCGTAAAATGCGTTTTTACCGTCTAATGAACAGTTTGCTGTAACTAAAACACTGAAAATAGGACTTTCTAGAACTCAACAGTTCCAATTCCTTGGTTAAAATTGGCTTTTCCTATAAAGGAGCGACTTATTTCATTGATTTACTATTATAAAGTTTCAGTATAAACATCGATTAAGAGTTTGTGCAGGCTGGAAATACGACTGTGTATTGCGCGCTTTCAGTTTTACCAAGGAACTTGTTTTTTTACTGACAGTTTTATGGTGTTTCCTGACTGTGATTACCACAGGAAGGCATGCCATGGTTGTCAAAAAACTCACTCATAAGGCTCCCTTCAAACTCCATACATAGCTGCTAATGCCGACAGTGAAAAATATAATAGTTTAGCCTGTTTCTGAAACCGTATTGTCGACACTGTGTGATATTAGGCCTATACGAATTAAAGGCACATAATACAATACTCAGACCTTACCGGTAATCTGTATTACAAATTACCCCTCAAACATTGAAAAAGTGGAATGGAAAGAGTTATCCTTCAGTTATTTTGTATGAAGCTTAATATTTTATGAAAAATGAATATTTAGCAGACGTATCAAATCAACCTAATTACAGTAACTACTATTTTTATTTAAAATGTTTTAGAATGAAAATAAAAGAAAGTAAATACAAATTATATAATTATTATAAATATTTAAAAGATCATAATTGAATAGGTCTAGGTATGTTTCCAGATGTAAAACTGTGATGGTCACGTGGATATAAGGAACACCATTTTCATTCGACAACGTCTTGTACACGTTTGATCTTATATGCACACATTAAAAAATGTTCTTACTTAAAAATCGCCTTTTCCATCATTAACGTGCAAAGCGCCTTTGATATTAAGTACCTTGGTGGTTTAATTGACACTATAAATTTCAATTAATATTATTATTACTATTATTATTATTATTATTATTATTATTAAGCCCTATTATTATTATATTAATAATAATAATAATTATTATTATATTATTATTATTATTATTATTATTATTATTATTATTATTATTATTATTATTATATCAGTCTCATGTTTGATCCTCCTCTGGCATGTATTTAATGGTTACTTTGTTTTATGTTTGTTGGCCTATTGTGCTGGATGAATACATTACATTGGAATTAATCAATTTACGCTTGTTATGGTCCAGTATGCATTCTCTTTCTTTTATTAGTTGAAATCACAATATTTCTAATGACAATTGATTACAATGGAAAAGCACGGCAACACTGGCACACAACCAATACACGCTAATATAACATAAACTTAAATATTAGGACATCATATTTCCTTTGTTTCTCAGTTTAATAATAATTTAATATCCGGTAATATTTAACCATAAATAACTACATTGAACTTTGGATTCAAATGGCAATAAATAACGTTTATTGACACAAATGTTGACAACCATGAATAAGAAAGCGAACATAACGTCACAGCTTAAAGTAAATTCGTAACTAAGAAAAATCGATTTTCCAGAGTTACAATCAGACTTAACAACCGACCAATCAGAACAGGTCCTGGAATAAGCTCTTGTCCCACAAGCACACATGTTGTCCCACAAACCCTACGTGTTTAAGTACGTTCACACTGTCCTTTTGTGGGACATGCCCCGCGCAACGGTCGTTCATCATATTGAATATCAAGAAAATAGAAAACATGAATGTGAGCTTAAATGTGTCCTGGTTTAGTCCCTCTCGAGCAGATTATTATCATAAAATACACATGCCTCACATTGAGCAAATCAACGTGGTGTTGATTCTTGTTGAAATAGAGTCTTCACGTACAGCATAACATTTAGTAAGGAGTTTGGGATGCTGCATTACGCTTACTGATAAAAAGGACGATATTTTTTTTTCAATCGACAAAAAATATAATTGAATTAAAATTTAACATTACCTCACTAGAGATACGCGATGGGGCGTTCCTATAAAACCTAAACTATAACATAAATTAGCAAAGAGAGCATTTAATTTCCATACTGTCAGATATATCTGAAATCCTGGAATATTCTAATTGTTTTATTCACATTCCGCTCCATTTCCAGCAAGGCATTCACATGTGCGAATGGTCTGCACTTCAACTTGTTTGAAAACATTACCGGGGCATACGAGATCAACCATAACTGTTTCATATTCGGTGGGCGCACAATTTGCACACGATTGCTCTGTAATAGGGATGAGATTGTCATAGCCAGTGATTCGATATGACGAAGCGCATTTACCCATACAGGCAGTTGCAGGTGTATATCCAATGCACAAGCCAATCTGGACTTCGACAGGGTCCAATTCTACGAATTCACAACTTCCAGGAGCTAGAATAAAAAATAAAAGTGTATTTATAATAGTAGGGCTGTAGCTTGGTGGTTTAATCGAGTTTTACATAAAATCGCTGCACGCCATTGTCGACAGCTTTCAACGACGCTGATTGGTTGGTCAAATCGGGGAGCCTCCCCAATTGCGTCTGCGATACAACTGAGCGATTGGAGTGAAAACACACCAGCAGTGTATTAATCTATAATGGAAACCAAGCTTAAAGATTAATTGCCTTCACATTATCTCAAGCAAAAGTAACTGAGCTTTACAAGTCAGCAATGTCGTTATTCTGAATCTTGATTTTTCTGTTAATAACCCAGAATGGCTTTCAAAGCAATGTTGGCAAACAATTTCCATAAAAAAACTCCAAGTAAAATAGATCGATCTCTGTCCAGTTCCATTAATAGTATTCTTATCATTATGTACAAACACATACACTATATTTAAAGTGGAGTGCACATCATTCAGTCCTAATGTAACATTTGAAGTAATTATTTGAAAAAAAAAGATCCACAGAGTTCCAAATAATAATGAATAATTTGTAGACCTTGAATTTGAGTGGCTTTTAGTGAATCTCAATAAAATTATTCAAACATATTAGCGTCTTACCTTTAGTGGGAGTTGTGATGGGAAAAATTGTTGGTGGGGTACCTGTAGAAATTTTCAAAATAATGTATGATGTAAAATAAAATATTCGTTTTAAGAGTCTAAAAAGGAAGGACATAACAGAATTACAAATATATTAAATAAATACAATCATAACAAATTTTTATTTAGTTTAGCTAAGCAAGAGATTTATGATTTATGCCCCGAATGGGCATAGCAGGCCGCCCATTATTATTCTGAATAATTTTACAGGACTTGAATAAGATGTTCCATGTAAATAGAAGTTTTTCTGTATTACGAAGCCATACTATGAAACACATTAATGAAAGATAAGAAACTATAGGAAAGATAGGTATACATTAATAAATACATTTATTACACAATTACTAATATATTTTAGGGTATACTTACTTTCACATGGGATGCACGTTATGTTGGTTGGATGATTACCATCGGGCACGGTTCCTTCAGGACAGAAGCAACCAGCAATTGGATCCAATGGGCACTCAAAGTGTTCCCATGCGGAGCAGCTATCTATCTCAGCTATTGGACAGTTGCATTGTCGATATACCAGGCCATCTGGACATGGTTCAGCTGTAAGTAAAGCATATTCATAGAGAAATATTTATCCAAGTAATAAAAAGAGATTTATGAAGACTAGACACTTTTTGACGTTAAAGATGACCTAAAAGATGAACTATCAATGGAAATCTGGATTTTTTAAACATTTAATTTTAATTTAACGATTGTATTTTGCTAATTTTAAATGATCGAATAAGTTATAAACTACTTTCAATGTGAAACATTGAGTACAAAGTAAGTTAAACACTGAATAAGCTGTCAAGGATCAGTAGCGGATCCTGGGGTGTCAAAATGGGCACTCCCCATCCCTTATCCATCTGCAAAACAATATCTGAATATTGTTTAAATAAGAGACTAATATTGTTAAAATGGATGAACATTCCAGGCGGGACCGCCCCAAAGTAGATAAGGAACAACTATGGTACTCACTCGGACAATAAGCTCTCATTGGCTCTCCGTGTCCCTAAACCACCAGCAGAAGGAATTTAGATTTGCCCTGGAAATTAATTATTATGACTAAAGCCGGGCACTCACTGGGCACGACGGTCGTCGGCCGAGACGATTCTATGGAGAAAGCCACGACGCGCGCGCAACCGGACTGCTAGCGCCAATCAGCAGACGGTGTCGCGTCTTCTAATGCTGACAGGGAGCGCAGGTGGATTCGTCGGCCAACAGTCGTCCGACCGTTGTACGACGCAGTGAGTGCCCGGCCCTAAAAAACAATCACCCATAAAACTTACGACAAAACTCGTCTGATCTCCATGGAATACAAATATTATTTCCACTACATTCCTCAGTGTAGCTTTCGAATGCCCAGCAGTTGCCTGCAGTTGAGTTTGCACACCCGTCTCGGATACAGGTCTCATAATACTCTCGTGTGTCTACATACCCGTGACAGGTTTCGAATATGGTAGAATTTATTTTGGAACACCAATCGATCACCTCTTGGCTTGGAATACATGCAGTTGGTTCCGCCGGAGGTATACAGCCTTCTCTATCACCACCCGGAGGTTCAAGCCAGTCGTAACCGAATTCAAATTCATCCTCTATTACTTTGCCATCACGGGACAGAAAATCATCCGTAAAATTACCGTTACACAGACCTATTTAATAGAAATTTTATATATTAAATAAAAGTAATTATATTTTACTTACAGGTATTGAATATTTAAAGAAACACTCTAGAATTTTAATAATAATATTTATTTGCCAATTTAGATAAGAAAGACAAGTATCCAGGGGGGGTTTTTATGGTTCGGGAGAACTCCCCTTTTCTAGCAAACCCCCCTTTTCTTGGCGAAACCCCCTCTTTAAATTTCCCAAATAAATCCTCCAACCCAACTTATGCACTGCAGACCCACCCAGACACAGACATTTTCAAACATATCTACTTTTATAGAATTCTTTGGACCCATAAAGCACAAAAATCCTCTTGCTTTGGGGGTTTCGCCGACCCCACCGGAGCTTCGACTGTGGACCTCACGCCCAGAAAACCCCCCTTAGAAGAACCTGGCTACGGTCCTGATACTGATTTTCTTTTTAAAGGTAACAGCAAATAGTAATAATAATGATAATAATATTAATAATAATAATAATAATAATAATAATAATAATAATAATAATAATAATAATAATAATAATAACAGTATATAAAATAATATTATACTACTAAACACTATACTAACATTATTTAACTTACAATACTACTATACCTACTATCACTACTGCTACTATTAACAGTACCACTACCAATACCCCTGTGGTAATAGTAGAAAGTAGAGAAATGTATTCATATAGAGTATTCGTTTTATTGTTTTTTTGCGTTGTATTATTAGTTTTTTGACGATTTGAACCCACGATTAGGGGATTGAAAGTATATTCCTATCAACATTCTTACCACATAATCCCTCCGTCTGATTCCAGAACAACGCAGGGGAGACAACCACACGATAATATCGAGGAGAAGGTGGTTCAAAACGAACTTCTAGTCCAATAGAGGCAACGATGACCATCATTTTGAGACCATTCTGTCGTAGTTCAATTCCATCAAAGTATGCAGGTGCGTACATTATTTGGCCGCTTACGTTAAACTGTAGAGCAAAATAGAATATGAAATCAGATTCCATCATCACAACCAGTTGTCATTTGGTTCTGTTATATCTGCGCATGGAAGAAGTGTCTATTGGATCCGAATCGAAATATATATCATATTACATAAATATATGTACAGTGTATACAGTATATATTACTCTCGACGGGATATATATACAGATACATATATAAATATATAATTATATAGTAATAGTAAAACGCGTGAGGCATTACCACAGGACGGTTTGAAGTTGAGCTCTACATCGCTTTATGATTTATTTATAAATAAAGTATCTTCAAAGATGCCACCTTGTCGTTAAATGCTAATAACAAGATGGCTTATTATATTGATTTCGGTTATTTTGCCATGTAGTAAGAACTATTGCTGTTCAAATACGCTTGTGCAAATAGATTGCAGAGGTCTCAAGTTAGTCAAGTGATCTGCATAGGCCAGGCAGAAGGTCCAGGGTTTAAACCCGGGACTTTCTGCTGTCTATGCAGACGCTTTAACCAACTAGGCCATTAAGACTTTCGTTGGAACATATATATATATATATATATATACTATCAGTCACAAAAACGGTTGCAGTGGATTCCGCAGTTGTCTCCTCTGGTGGAGTTGGTGAATTTGTTGTTGTTCGCACACCTGTTGTTGACTCCGTTGTTGTTGGTTCCTCAGTCGTATCATGTGGGGATGTTGTCTTTTTGCTAGTTGTTGTTGGAAGTGTGGTTGTTGTTGGTTCAGTTGTTGACTCTGTTGTTGTTGGCTCCTCAGTCTCAACATGTGGTGGCGTTGTTGTTTTCATAGTCGTTGTTGGAAGTGTAGTTGTTGTTGGTTCAGATGTCGATACAGATGTTGTCGGTTCAACTGCTGTGGTTGACTCAACAGTTGTAGTGGATTCCGTTGTTTCAATATCAGTCACAAAAACGGTTGCAGTGGATTCCGCAGTTGTCTCCTCTGGTGGAGTTGGTGAATTTGTTGTTGTTCGCACACCTGTTGTTGACTCCGTTGTTGGTTCCTCAGTCGTATCATGTGGGGGTGTTGTCTTTTTGCTAGTTGTTGTTGGAAGTGTGGTTGTTGTTGGTTCAGTTGTTGACTCTGTTGTTGTTGGCTCCTCAGTCTCAACATGTGGGGGCGTTGTTGTTTTCATAGTCGTTGTTGGAAGTGTAGTTGTTGGTTCAGATGTCGATACAGATGTTGTCGGTTCAACTGCTGTGGTTGACTCAACAGTTGTAGTGGATTCCGTTGTTTCAATATCAGTCACAAAAACGGTTGCAGTGGATTCCGCAGTTGTCTCCTCTGGTGGAGTTGGTGAATTTGTTGTTGTTCGCACACCTGTTGTTGACTCCGTTGTTGTTGGTTCCTCAGTCGTATCATGTGGGGGTGTTGTCTTTTTGCTAGTTGTTGTTGGAAGTGTGGTTGTTGTTGGTTCAGTTGTTGACTCTGTTGTTGTTGGCTCCTCAGTCTCAACATTTGGGAGCGTTGTTGTTTTCATAGTCGTTGTTGGAAGTGTAGTTGTTGTTGGTTCAGATGTCGATACAGATGTTGTCGGTTCAACTGCTGTGGTTGACTCAACAGTTGTAGTGGATTCCGTTGTTTCAATATCAGTCACAAAAACGGTTGCAGTGGATTCCGCAGTTGTCTCCTCTGGTGGAGTTGGTGAATTTGTTGTTGTTCGCACACCTGTTGTTGACTCCGTTGTTGTTGGTTCCTCAGTCGTATCATGTGGAGGCGTTGTTGTTTTCATAGTTGTTGGAATTGTGGTTGTTGTTGGTTCAGTTGTCGATTCAGTTGTTGTTGGTTCCTCAGTCGTATCATGTGGGGACGTTGTTGTTTTTGTTGTTGTTGTTGGTTCAGTTGTCGATTCTGTTGTTGTTGGTTCCTCAGTCGTATCATGTGGGGTTGTTGTTTTTATTGTTGTTGTTGGAAGAGTGGTCGTTGGCTCAGTTGTCGATTCTGTTGTTGTTGGTTCCTCTGTCGTATCATGTGGGGCCGTTGTTGTTTTTATAGTGGTTGTTGAAATTGTGGTCGTTGTTGGTTCAGTTGTCGATTCAGTTGTTGTTGGTTCCTCAGTCGTATCATGTGGGGACGTTGTTGTTTTTGTTGTTGTTGTTGGTTCAGTTGTCGATTCTGTTGTTGTTGGTTCCTCTGTCGTATCATGTGGGGACGTTGTTGTTTTTGTTGTTGTTGTTGGTTCAGTTGTCGATTTTGTTGTTGTTGGTTCCTCAGTCGTATCATGTGGGGTTGTTGTTGTTTTTATTGTTGTTGTTGGAAGAGTGGTCGTTGGCTCAGTTGTCGATTCTGTTGTTGTTGGTTCCTCTGTCGTATCATGTGGGGCCGTTGTTGTTTTTATAGTGGTTGTTGAAATTGTGGTCGTTGTTGGTTCAGTTGTCGATTCTGTTGTTGTTGGTTCACCTGCTGTGGTTAAATCAACAATTGTAGGGGATTCTGTTGTAAATATATCAGTCACAAAGACGGTTGCAGTGGATTCCGCGGTTGTCTCTTCTGGTGGCGTTGGTGAATTTGTTGTTTTCATACTCGTTGTCGACTCTTTTGTTGTTGGTTCCTCAGTCGTGTCATGTGGGGACGTTGTTGTTTTCCTAGTTGTTGTTGTAAGAGTGGTCGTTGTTGGTTCAGTTGTCGATTCTGTTGTTGTTGTTGGTTCCTCAGTCGTATCATGTGGGTGCGTTGTTGTTTTAATAGTCTTTGTTGGAAGTGTAGTTGTTGTTGGTTCAGTTGTTAATACAGACGTCGTCGGTTCAACTGCTGTGGTTGACTCAACAGTTGTAGTGGATTCCGTTGTTTCAATATCAGTCACAAAGACGGTTGCAGTGGATTCCACGGTTGTCTCTCCTGGTGTCGTTGGTGAACTTGTTGTCGTTTTCACACTCGTTGTCGACTCTGTTTTTGTTTGTCCTTCAGACGTATCATGTGGGGTCGTTGTTGGTTCAATTGAAGGTTGATGAGCTGTTGGCGATTCAAATGTTTGTAGTACTGTAGTTCGATGTTCGTCTATCACTTCTGTTGTAGTTGGACTCATTGTAGTTGGACTCATTGTAGTTGGACTCATTGTGGTGGAACAGAGTGGGAATGGCTGGTCTTGGCATTCACACCTAACTCTTATTTCATAATCATAACAGAATCCGTCTGAAGAATGATAACACTCTAATCCTGTTTCCAAATTGCATTCAACTTCTTGTCCCGTGAGGTAGTACGGCCAATATGGTTCTGATGCCACACGACATTCAATCGCGCTCGGATTTTCACAAAATTGGTAATCATTGCGAAGTTCATCTAGAAGTTCAAATTCTCCAAGAGCAGCATCCGGTACTTTCGATCCATTTTCGTCGTTCATCCATTCGGACCAACATTCTGGAAAAGATAATTTTAAACTTGAATATTAATTATGCCTATTACTTATGATGACAAATAAATATAACACTAATAATAAAATACGTATACATGTATATATATATATCTGTCTCTTATACACATCTGACGTTGTTGTTTTTGTTGTTGTTGTTGGTTCAGTTGTCGATTTTGTTGTTGTTGGTTCCTCAGTCGTATCATGTGGGGTTGTTGTTGTTTTTATTGTTGTTGTTGGAAGAGTGGTCGTTGGCTCAGTTGTCGATTCTGTTGTTGTTGGTTCCTCTGTCGTATCATGTGGGGCCGTTGGAGACAGATATATATATATATATTGCATTGCATATTCGTTATAAGCCTAAAACATCTAACTGATTACTTAATTATTGATTTCAATAATTAATATCTTGAATATCGATTGCGTAAAATGAAAACAAGCCTATTTTGGTTATGGTGAATTTGTATTGTGTAAGTCATGAGAAATTAACATACCTTTTGGTGGCTGCGTTACACACTTTGTCGGTGTTAAGGTAGTTGTTGGCTCCGTGGTTGTAACGGTGGTTGTCGGTTCTGTTGTTATGACTGTTGTTGTCGGCTCTGTTGTTGTGACCTTAGTTGTCAGTTTTGTAGTTGTAACGGTGGTTGTCGGTTCTGTGGTTGTGACGACGGGGGTTGTTGATTCTGGGGTTGTGACTTTGGTAGTTGACGGCTCTGAAGTTGTGAGATCAGGCGTCGGTGTTTTTGTCTTAGTAGAATGCGATGGAGTGATAACCTCTTTAGTAGGACCCTCTGTAGATGGTTCAAACTCAGTGACGGTGACAACTCTGGTTGTTAAAGACTGTGTTGTTGGCTCTTCGTTAGTTGTTGGTATCGTGGTCGTAGTTAGTGTAGTTGTTGGAGATGTCGTTGGCACTAATGTAGTTGGCTCTGGACAGGTTTTTACACACTCTCCATCCTGAAGATATTCGCCCTCTGGACACTTACAACCTTCCACACAAATATCGAGGCAGTGGCCGTCAGCATCCCGATAATACCTATTATCACACGTGTCGCATAGAGAAACACATGGATCGTAGGTAAAGCATCCGTCACATTGAATTGCTGTAGTGGGAAAATAGTATAGATTTTCGTCAGGAAAACAATAAATGTAGCATGCATAAATCATGTAACCTAATAAATACGAACTGCTATGATAAACATTAACTTTTTGAAAACAATTAAAAATGTATTGCTCTATATATGACAGGTTTAATTATTTACTAATGTAAAGTGTTGAGTATACGAGTTGGAATATATTATTAACTCACGACAAAGTTCTTGAGATCGCCACTTTATTGCCACACCATGTGCATTACATGCTTGAGCGTAAGCAGCTATAGCTGTACAAAGACACTCGCAATCGCCACCACTGTCGCAACCGCATGCGTCAAACAGACAATTGACATAATACTCCTCATAAGGAACCTCGCTGTGACATTCTTTGAAGGTATCTGATTTTATTATGCTGCATTTTCGCTGGGCCCATGGCTTGCGATGAGGGTGCTCTTGACAAGTGTCATTAAAATCTGGGGCATTTCCACACGTCTCTGATGTCTAAGTATGATTAATAATGATTATGTAAAAATGAATACCATTGACAATTAATTTCAAACAAAATACGTCTAACGAACGACGTCTCCATAATAATCGATGTTTTTAATAATTCATTCAAACTGTTATGGAAAACAAACACATATAATCATAAGTATCCTGCGTAGGCCGATATTGCCTGACACTTCACCCACATACATGTCCTCTGGTTTTATTTCTTCTGAAAACATACCTTCCAGCTGTTTGCAAACACAGTCGCAGACGCAACAGGGAAACCACCATTAGATTTGGTAAAATCATCTTCCTGATTTCCATTGTATGTTCCACATAATCCTCCAACCTAAAGCAATTTAAAACAAACATTGATTTGAATCTGAATTTAACTTAGCCAATAATATCTTCCAAAGAAAACGATATTCGTGCCATATTCTCGGGCAGAAACGGAGAAGCAGTGTTTTTATGATATTAAGCTAGAAGCATTGTAGGTCTGGGTGAGCTCAATATTCAAAATGTGAACTAACCGTTAACAAAATTGACGAGTAAACGTTTCTTATGGGACTATTAATAACTGTACCACCACCACCATTGCCACCACCTGACATATTAGTTTTCACCTTCTTCATAACCTAATTGGCCAATATTTATTTATCTCGACTTATCACCACGTTTTATATAGCTTATGTAATGCAATATTATTCGCTTATTTAGTATATTTTCTTACAGTGTTTTTATGAATAGGGTCCAATTTAACCTCGATCCTTGTCTTCTTATCCCAAACTAATGTAACACCAATATCAGTGTGAACAAAAACAGACAGTCCTACTTCGGTAAGTCGGAACATATCGCTGGATGACTCAATCGGTAAGTATCGGTCAAGGATTATCGTTTCTTGGTTCTGGCCTGATCCTGTTTTCACAATGTACATTGATATGTTAGCGAAAAACTACTACATGTCTCATATAAAATAAACAATTCAAATCAAAATCAATTGTGAGTGGAACATGCTTGGAGACCGCTTTAAGACCACTACAGTATGTCTGCTAAATATGGAACATCATACATCCTATGCGCTCTTCAAATCAGCTTGTGCATTATCATTAACAATGTTTATCAAATATTAATGCTTGCGGTACACCACCGCAAGCATTAATACATATTTATTACTTCGCCATGCAAACAATGTTTATCAGGTTTTTGTATATTCATTTGTAGCGTGCTACCTTCTAAGCAACCAAATAAAAAAAATGCGTTATCTACCCTCTTAGGCCTAGGTCAGACCATGGTGCTCTCGGGTCTGCGTATATTTGCAACTTGCATATATTTTGCAACTTATATTTTTAAACGACATAATACAGCATACATACCGATAGTGAGTCTGACACTTTTGGTACAGGTGACAGTAGATGTTCCACACGGCTCGTTTTTTGCCGTAATTTGAAAGTCAGGTTGCACGTGCTGGTATAAGTAATTGGTTACCAAAACGTATTCACAATCTCCTTGGAAGCCATACATCTTACCATCAAATGTCTCGTAATGTGGGTCTCCCCATGCGACACAAGTAACTAAATAAAAATTAAATAATTAAATTAATTTAAGTTGCTGACGTCCTTAGTGTACAGCTTGACTTTTTATGAGCTAAAACATCCAAAATGTTTGTCAATAAATTAATGCAAAATATTATCACCAATATGCAACTAAATTAAAAAGTATTGTATACAATTATTGACCTTTTTATGATTTCGTATGTGTACTCATATATATTTATAAAATATTTACCAGTTCTGTGCCTGAGTAGGCCTATGTTTAAGAACGCAAGACATAAATTTAACGGACATGCATTATTATATTTTACGGCTATAGTTTCATAATTACTTCTTAGGATGTGGTCTTGAACTATGTAATTACCGAAAGTGATATAAAAACTAGCGGCTATATTACTTGCCTGGACAGTCATGGGCAGTTAGTGGTATCCACGCTGTTCCATTACATTGCCTGTCAAAAATAGTAGGCATTTAACAAATAAAAATATTATTATCCTTAACACAATACAGTACCATATGGGGAATGACAAAACATGCTGATTCATTGGTAGCACAGAAAATACTGTATAATAATATAGGACTGTATTCTATTATATTACCTATCGCAATTGAAATGTGCACTCGAAAGGAAAGACATGTTCACAATATCAAATATAGACAGTTAATACGTGACCTTGAATAACAAATATTCTGAGGAAAGCATAAATATTGTTAAAAAGCTGAAGAAAATCCTCCAAATGTAAAGAACAGATAAGGTTCGCCAACACAAGTCACACAAACTTGCTAAGCAAAATCGGCAAAGTTGTCGACAATATAAACATGGTAAATAGGAATAGTAATGGCATGTAAAAACGATCTGTCAGAAAATAATCCCCAAGAGGAAAGATTAAGAATAATGAAATATAAATTGATGGTAGCTTCAATAACCATCCTACACATGAATTTATACACACTGTATAATGATGAATTGACAGGGATACGAGTGTCAGATGATCATAGTAGAATGAGTACAAATTTATACTATACACACTGAAATTGATAGGATTTAGAAGTAAATTCTTTATGAAGTTTTGATATGTACTAAGTTGTAGGCTTACACAGCGTTTTTCTACTGAAGTTTTCTTTAAACTTACGTAGGCGAAGTTTATTGCAAGTAATAGAGCTGTATAATATGTTTGGCTAACCTGTGCCAATTATACATGCTGTTGGTAACCAAAGTATACTGCCCATTTTTGATATGCCATATCTATATATCCATCTATCTATCTATCTATCTATCTATCTATCTATCTATCTATCTATCTATCTATCTATCTATCTATCTATCTATATATATATAAAATGCAAAAGCAATGAAAAAACGGTGTACAATCATTGAAAGTTGACTTGCGGAACACAAATTTATTAAGCTATAACAAAATCAAACGGATATTTCGATAGCTCCTGCTATCTTCATCAACGTTAAAGTGA